CTGTATATTTTAATTAATCCATACTATGCTCAATCCATATATATTTTATTAATCCATATCATGTTCAATCCATATAGCTTTATTAACCCCATATTATGCTCAATCCATTGTACTGTTTAATTTCCGTATACAATACTCAATTTATTTTTTCTTTGTACTATTTCAATATATCTCAAGCTCAGTCCAAATATTACGTTCAAATTCTCCATCCGCGATTTTGATTAATTAAAAAAAGCATTCTTTTATTATATAGTGGGACACGACCCGGCATTGACCTGCCCCACGAAGGTAGCGTAAGGCAAGTCTTCCGTCTCCTTGTTGATCGACACGTTCCTTATGCAGCCGACGAATTTCTCCGCCACAGCGTTCCCGCGCCGCTGCATGATACGCGGCTGCGTCCCCAGGAACAGCGGGTGCTTCGTGTCCGTGGAGGTGGCGCCGATTTTGCCGGACACGGGGTTGGTGGAGGTCCCGTCCACGATAAGGATGGCGATGATCTTATTCTTGATCACTGAAAGGAAACGGCGTTCAAGGACGTTCATAAAATACCAATGACACATCCGTGCGTCGAAAAATAAAAGCATGGTCTAAATTGCAGTAGAATATAAGCAGTGAAGCGCTTCCGGTCAAGGCGCCGCCCAGCTCCTCAGCCGCGAGCCCCCCTCCGGAGACAGGAGCCGCCCTCACCTTGGATCGTGTGCCACTTCCCGTCGCAGATCGACCACGGCGACGGCGGGGTGTACCTATTCACGATCTCGCCCTTGCCGTTATCCACCGTGAGCTCCACGCTACCGTTCCTCAGCTGCAGCAGCACGAAGTCTCGTCGCCCGTGCACGGACATGATCACGCCGTTGTTCTTTCTCGGCTTGATGTCCATCTTCATCTCGAACACGCGGCCCACACTGAAGCGCTGGCCTGCGGGGGGAGGGGCGGGATGCGACAGAGGCGTTGGGGAGAGAGGAAGGCTGATAGATGTAAGGTAGATGGACAGAACGATAGGTAGACGGGTAGATATGCAGACAGACTGATTGATGAACTTCAAGAATGACCACAACTGACTGACTGATTCACTAATTGACGACTGATTCACTATGACTGACTGATTCACTAATTGACACTGATTCACTAATTGACTGACTGATTCACTAATTGACTGACTTATTCACTAATTGACACTGATTTACTGATTTACTCATTGACTGACTAGCTAACAAAACCAATCTACAGACGTAACGCGAGACCCCAGCAGGAGCTCGCAGCCTGTGCCCGCGGCCTTACGCAGGATGACGTGAGCCCGAAGCCCCTCGCCGAAGAAGATGCCCGGCTCCACGTTCTCGGAGCAGCGATTGAGGCCGAAGGCTTGGTGTTCTCCGCTCAGGCGCTGGTTGTTCATGCGCATGATGCGCAGGCAGCCGTTGAAGGACAGGTCGGTCTCCTCCGTGTTGGCGCGGGCCTGGTCGGCGATCTCTGTGCTGAGGCCGCCGTAGTAGTAAGGCGGCTGGAGTGGGTCAGGGAGAGGACGGAGCTCAAATAGATGATAGGATGTGTACGAAAACACACAGATATTTACAAGACAGATACAGATACACAGATACACACACACAGATACACAGATACACACATACACACACATACACACACAGATACACACACACTCACACACACACACACACTCACACACACACACAGACACACACACACACACACACACACACACACACACACACACACACAACACACACACACACACACACACACACACACCACACACACACACACACACTCACAAAATCCAATCCCTAAAAACGGGCAAACGTACGGGTGCCAAACGGAAAGCCTGTGCCGAAGCCCCAAGGCCCCCGCTGTAGTTACCTTCAGATCGATGAATTTGGATTTGCCCTTGCTCGTGCCGTTCCCTTCCTGGTAGCCGTCCACGTACAGGACCCCGAAGGCGTTGATGCGCTCCCCCACTGCGCTGTGCCACGCGCCGTCGTTGAAGGCCTTCTGCGAACGCATCTGGACCGGCCCGTCGCCGGGGTTGAAGCGCATCACGATCTTTGGGGAGAAGCAGACCCCGTGAGGATAGGCTCGAGGAAATGCGCGATATTATGCCAGCTAGATTAAGGCTATGAATAAATGAGGGGGGAAGAGGGAGAGGGAGAGGAGAGGGAGAGGGAGAGGGAGAGGAGAGGGAGAGGGAGAGGGAGAGGGAGAGGAGAGGGAGAGGGAGAGGGAGAGGGAGAGGGAGAGGGAGAGGGAGGAGGGAGAGGGAGAAGGAGAGGAGGAGGGAGAGGGAGAGGGGGAGGGAGGGGGAGGGGAGGGAGAGGGGAGGGGGAGGGGAAGGGAGGAGGGGGACGGGGAAGGAGAGGGAGAGGGGAAGGAGAGGGTGAGAGGGAGAGGGAGAGGGAGGGGGAGGGGGAAGGAGAGGGAGAAGGAGGGGGAAGGAGAGGGAGAGAGGAGAGGGAGAGGGAGAGGGGAGAGGGAGGGGAGGGGGAGGGGA